AATTCCCAACAAATATCCAACACATTTTTTATGTAACACTTTTAGTGTTTATTACTCCATTAGTATAACATCAAATTAAATGATGAATAAATCAGGAAATATGAACCAATTTTGGTGTGTTTTTCTCATATTTATCAGTAGTATACTGCTACTGTTAAGTAACTGTGGTGTTGTTAATGGAGGATTGAATTTTCATGAAGATAGTGGTGTGAGTAGTGGGAGTACTGGTACAATTGGGAGGCTAGTGAAGAAGGAAGAAAGGATACCGGTTGTTGCGACGGAGTTCGGTGAGATATCGGCGGTCGACGTCGATGATGGTTCGGGCACAGGGAGGCATAGCTACCATATTCAGTTCATTACTTTGGAGCCTAATGCGCTTTTTCTTCCTGTTCTTCTACATGCTGACATGGTCTTCTATGTCAAAACAGGTACGTGACGAACTCTTCTAATTCTAATGCTTATACGAAACGCTATGTTTGTTTGTATGATTAGAATTAATAGTCACGTATACTATTCATCTACTTTTGAGTGCCTAAACATAATACTACCTTTGTCTTTTTAGTTGATTTATTGTAAACCCTGTTTAGATTGACAAAGCTGAGATGAACCGAACCGAATCGAACTTATTGGAGCTGAACTGAACAAAAATGAACTGACTGAATATTATATTTTATGAGAGAATGAGATTAAGAATTAAACTGAACTTATTGGTGTTGAACTGAAACTAAGCCGAAGAGAACGAGCCCTTAGTGTATATAACTACCATGTGTTGTTCAAGAATGCAATTTCGATGTGCTTGTGAGTAATATAGATGAAATGAGTGTTTAATGTTTGTCTTCCTAGAATCCTATGTCCAAGATACTTGTAGTTATACATTGCTATAGGAAGACCACACATGAGTAACGATGTGAATGCATAACATGACCAAGAATAGAGTTTTAGCCCTTGGGAAAGTATCGGCAAGTATTATTAATTTTGCAACAAGTAATTAGCGACGAATTTCAACATCCTTTAGGCACTTACTAGACAGTCTTTTAGGAGGAAATCCCTAACTAAGAGGATTAACTAAACTAGACAATTCATGGACAGTTATAGATTAATGATTCGGTCAAAGATAGATGCACAATCGAGCCACATCTAGTTTTGAGCTTGACCTGGGTTCTTATACGATCGAGTTAGTTCTAGACAAGGAAGGCTATTTTAGGTAAATCAAGAGCAACAAACTAAGCTCGCTAACTCCATAAACTATGCTTACCGTTATTAGGTTAAGCTTATTTACCTTGAAAGCTCGCTCAGTAAGCAAATCTCTTACATTATGTACCCACCAATATTTAGTTAAAAATCTGGTGAGTTTGCATTCTTTTTTGCAGGAAGTGGGAAGATAAGCTGGACTGATAGTGATGAACTAAAGAAAGTTGACTTGCAGCGAGGGGACGTTTACAGACTCAAGTCTGGCAGTCTCTTCTACCTTCATAGCAATTTAGAGGCTGAAGAGACGAGGCTCAGAATCGTTGCTGTTTTTGCCAATCCGAAAGAAGATAAAGTACAGGTACATGACATAGGGCTGAGAGAATTTTAAAGCTTACTCAATTGGCCACATTTTCGTCCCATAGAACTAAGATGTTGTGATCAAATTTCCTCTTTTAGGGGCCATTAATTGGGCCGTACTCCAGCATCAATGACCTCGTTCGAGGCTTTGATAAGAGCATCCTTCAAGCGGCTTTCCAGGTACCCAATTCTTTCTCATCTCACTAGTAATATTTGTACAACTTTACTACGGAGTATATAACAAATTATCATACTGTAGGTACCTGAGGAAGTAGTAGAAGAATTAACAAGTGCAACAGATACACCAGCAATAGTACACGCAGAGACCAAAAAGAAGAATTTCTGGCACCAGGAGCTTCTGTTTATCAATGTTTTCTTAGGAGTCCGGAGTTACAGCAATCAAATCAGTGAAAACAAGAAGAAGCACAGTAAGACATTCAATTTCTTCAAGGAAGACCCGGATTTTAAAAGCTGCAGCGGGTGGAGTACAGCAGTCACCGATCACAATTTGCACGCATTACAAGGTTCCCATATCGGTGTCTACATGGTAAACCTTACCAAGGTGAGCCTCAAACATACTCCTTGTTCTCGATCTATTGAAAATAACAAACTCAGCAGGATAGATACCATTCCACATTTCGTATTACTCGTATATGTTGAGTATTTTTCTACTTGTGGTATCTTAGCCAATAAACTTTGGGAAATGAACCTAAAACCACCCTTTAAAGCGAAGGTGTTATTCTTAAAACTACCAACCAAAGAAATAAATTAAAGGCCCCAAAATTCGACTAATATTCAAACAATACACCCACACCGATATCAATTTACTGGTATCCAGTATTACTGTATATCTTCTTTGAAAATGGACTAATCTGATAATCACCCCTCAAATGATACCTAGTAGTTGGTAAAGACTGAATAAGCAAAATTGTAATGATAGGATGGTCTTGATTACAAAACAGGGTGCTTCTTTTTCTTAAGTTTCTAAAAAATTATGCGTAGGTTTTGTGTAGTTGGTTCGGAGTTAAATATCAAAACCACTTATGTTAGACCACATAAAAAAGTTAGTGTTCTGTATCTAACAGCATTGCTGATTGCAAAATCCAGGGTTCAACAATGGGGCCTCACTGGAATCCGATGGCAACAGAGGTATCAGTAGTGTTGGAAGGGGAGGGAATGGTTCGTGTGGTATGTCCAAGTGCACTGACAAACAAAGAATGCAAAAACTCAAGGTTCAAAATTGAGGAAGGTGATGTATTCACTGTCCCAAGGTTTCATCCTATGGCACAATCATCGTTCAACAATGGCTCACTTGTTTTTATGGGGTTCAGCAGCACAACAAAGAAGAACCATCCTCAGTTCCTAGCAGGAAAGGCTTCAGTGCTGCAGACACTAAGCAAAACCATTATAGGTGCATCCTTTAATGTATCAAACACAACAATTGACCAGCTGCTAGCAGCTCAAGAGGAAGCAATCATATTGGACTGCACTTCTTGTGCTGAAGAACAGGAGATGAAGATGGAAGATGAGATTGAAAAGGAAAGGCAAGAAGAGGAAGAAAGGACAAGAAGAGAGGAAGAGAAAGAAAGGAAAAAGGAAGAAGAGAAAGAACGGAAAAGACGAGAAAAAGAGGAGAAAAGACGAAAGAGAGAGGAAGAGGAACGGAAGAGGCAGGAAGAAGAGCAAAAAAGGCAAGAAGAAGAGGAAGAAAGAAGGAAAAGAGAGGAAGAGGAAGAGCAGAGAAGACAAGAAGAAGAGGAAGAAAAAAGGGAAAGGGAAGAAGAGGAGCAAAAGAGGCAGGAGGAGGAAGAGCAGAGAAGGAAAGAAGAAGAGGAAGAAAAAAGGGAGAAAGAGGAGGAGGAAAAAAGAAAAAAGGAGGAAGAGGAACAAAAGAGACAGGAGGAGGAGGAGCAGAAAAGGCATGAAGAAGAGGAAGAAAAAAGGAAGAGAGAGGAAGAGGAACAAAAGAGGCAGGAGGAGGAAGAGCAGAGAAAGCAAGAAGAAGAGGAAGAGAAAAGGAAGAGAAAGGAGGAGGAGGAAAGAAGAAGGGAGGAAGAGGAACGGGAAAGGCAGGAAGAGGAAGAGCAAAGAAGGCAAGAAGAAGAGGAAGAGAAAAGGAAGAGAAAGGAGGAGGAAGAACAGCGAAAGCGTGAAAAAGAAGAAGATAAAAAAAGACGTGAACAAGAGGAAGAGCAAAGAAGGCAAGAGGAGGAAGAAGAGAAGCAAAGAGAAGAGGAAGAACAAAGAAGGCAGGAAAAAGAGGAAGAGCAGAGAAAGCGTGAAGAAGAAGAACAGAGAAGACATGAAGAAGAGGAAGAAGAAAGGAAACGAGAAAAGGAGAAGGAAAGAGAGCATGAGGAAGAGAAAAGAAGGCAAAGAGAAGAGGAAGAACAGAGAAGGGAAGAGGAAAAAAAGAGGCAGCGAGAAGAGGAAAAACAGAGAAAGAAAGAGGAAAAGGAGAGGCAAAGAGAGGAGGAAAAACAGAGAAAACGAGAGGAAGAAGAACAGAGGAGACGAGAGGAGGAAGGAGGAGAGGAAGAACAAGAGACTGAGCAAGAAATAGCAAGAAGAGAGGAGGAAGAAAGAAGGGAATGGGAAAGGCAAGCAGAGAAAGAAGCAAGGAAAAAGAGAGAGAGAGAAGGAAGTGATGGAAGCGGAGGAGAAGGAAGAAGAATTCTGAAGCGTACAACAAAGGTTTCAGATGTTCGCTGGTAGATTCAATACCCAGATAAGTTGGCATCATCGTTGGAAATCCTGCCTAAATACCATAATGCCACATATAGCTCCTGTCACCATGGCAATAAAAATGTTTGTAATAGTTAAGTAATGTGATTTTTAAGGTAGAAACCTAGAAATCTGGTAGATAATTCGCTTTGAGAACAGTGGCAACCGCAATTTTCTTTCTTTCCTTCTGTATTTTGATCATATCAGCAATGGCACTCTTAATAGTTTATCTTATTATATATGCTTGCAAAATTAAGCCACTTGCATCTCCCACATTTTGTGACATTCTCAAATAATCTAAGCAGTTCTAGTGGCTGCACTCGCCTAATTTTTCAAGGCAATGCCTTAAAAAAAAGGCAGCTTTCAGGCTTAACAATCTTAGATTAAATCTTTCTGAAAAGCTACACAATTATTTTATTTTTACCTCTTCTTTTTCGTCTATATAGTTAGTTGAAATTTTTTTTACAATTTAACCTCAATAATCTTTTATCTTAAAGTTTTTTAGGGACTATCATTACAACATCAAATATGATGTGAACAAGAAGTTGGCAAAACCAAAAATCCAGGATAGGGCCATTATTCGAAAAGAACTACCCTTGTAAGCAAAGGCTACTCACCTGGTGGTTTTTATTCATAATGTATTATTATTCATTTATTTTTATTATTGTTATAATAAGTTAATAACTTTACAAAGTAACTTTATTTTAATTTAATATATACATTATATATAGAAAAATTTCACATTAAAACAAGATTCAAGTAAAAGAAGACATTTTCTAATCCTTCCACTTTTCCTAGCCTTCCCTCCAATTATCATCAAAGTACAGTGCATGCACCCTAGATTCTCTACTTTGGTGAGACAAAACAAGAGGAGAGAAGGAATGAACCAAAACAAAGAAAGAAAATAAATATTGAACATTTGCTGCATCGATGTTAGTTTCACCATTCTATTCATCGGATTTCTAGTGACCAGGAAACTGAAAGGAACACAAAAAGAAACTAACAAGTGGCACAACTCACTGATTATCCTCGCCAATGATATAAGATACAACAACAGTGATGTCATCCAGCTTTCCTCCAACATAACGAAACCCAGCATCATGTGCAGCTGCAGCAAATGGTGTCTTTCGATGTTTATCCATAGCTCTTTGTTGCGCTAGAGTAGCTATGTTTTGTGCTGTTGCCTGGGGATCGAGACCTGATCTCTTAGCTTGGACAACCAAAGCAGTAATCTCGTTGTCATATAAGTTGTCAAATAATCCATCTGTACCAGCAACTATAACATCTCCTGAGGCAACAGGAAATGTGAAGACCTGCCACAAACAGAATAAAACATCAATTCAATGTAAACATGGAAGCTTCCACTCTCTAGAAAAACCATTTTGGTTAAGAGTATTATTTCATAGTCTAATGGTTAGCATACATAGATATTCCATAACTAATTTTGAAGAAAAGCCGAAAATTGAAAACCATATGTCCATATATAATGCGACACATGCACTAGATCAACCATGCCCCGAAAATCCAATAATATAATCCATAGTTCCAGCTCTCTAAATCCCTGAGCAAGGGGATAGGGAAGAAGAGATTTGGAAAGCTGGCAAAAAAAAGAGTAGCAGAGGAGAAAATTCCTCTTTAAAATTGCCCTTATTGATGAAATACTTTACGGTAAAGGGATACTAAATATGTTTACAGCCATCACTAGAGTAGTCATGGTATGATCCAACTAATAGAAGAAACCATGAAAGCTAACAGCAGAAAATGTACCTGGCCAGAACTGGGTAAATCACCTCCAGCTGAAGTACTTGCCAACTGATACGGAAAATTGAAACCATACTGCTGCACAGGGGACCGAAATACTGTGCTTCCATCCCTAATTACTATGAATCCACTGTCTCCAAGATTAATGGCATGGATCCCCTGCCAAATAATATGTCACTCAGTGAACGTTTCACAACAATAGAAGACATGATATCAAGAAATCCGAAAGGCATAAAAAGTTTCAGACAAAAGTCATGTGACCAAGCTAAAAGTTTGAATTGTTTAACCAATTAAGCATGGAAAGAAACATAAATCAGCAAACACATGTAACCTCTTGGTATTCTCTGTTAATCTGTTATCATCTACACATAGCACAGAGCCACAGAAAGCATAAATGGTTCTATGTTTTAGATAAATCATAAAATGATGAGGGCAATTCATGAAAATTCTCTAATTAAGTAGAACAGAGACCACCTCAACAATAGCAGAGAACTAAGCTGCACAATTCAATTTCCTCTATTCCACAAATTTTGCAACTTGGAGAATTTTATCCTTCCCAACTTATAACCTTGACCATTAGTATGTATAACAAAATTATAAAAAGTTCTAGAAAGTATAAATCGAGACAAATATAATAGGACCCCACATGACTATATTATTCTTTACGTATAAATCACAAAAGGTTGTCAAAGAGAGCTCGTTAGCTTGTTAAATTCTAAAGGTAAACATGGTGTAATATTTGTGAAACGGAGTTAATGTAAATGTTTTTCTAACTTGAATTAACAATTTTTAAAAAATTGGAGAGAAAGCATAACTTAGAGAAGAGAAATATAATAGAAGTATATAGAATAAATTAAAAAGGAAGAGGGGGGGAGCAAAAGCGCTCCTGGCAGCAAAAACACAAGATGAGCTAGAGAAATATGGCCACTCAAACATAAGTGAAAAAAATAAGGCATTCAGACAGGAAACTGCTCCATCTAATGTAAAATGAAACAAATCCCACCCAAAGAACTTTAACCATGATAATTAACAGTGTTGTCTCAATTTCATCAGGTAAGAGCAGCAAAAGCACCAACCTGGTCAGTGAGAGCAATTATACAAGCTGTTGAGGAGCCTATGACGTTAGTATCAGCATGAGCTTTCTCCAATATTCTAGCTGGGTCTACCCCATCCTTGGAAATTTCTTTTATTGCTGTCATAGAATTAGACATAAGTAGTCGAGCATAAATTCCAGCATCAACACCAACATCTGCCCATCCACCAACTCCATCTGCAACTCCAATCACTCGTTTTTCTTCACAAATGAAGTGAGCATCTTCTCCTCCAGTTTTAACCTTGTCAGGGTGTGGCAGGTAACATGATCCTGAACGAAGCTTCAAGGATCTATGACTTACGTTTTTACTACAGTCAACAACAACAACAAAGTTAATCACTATCATTATTTTTCCTTTTTATAAATTACTTAGTATTTAATATGCAATGATTCAATTGCCTCCTTCTAAACACCCATAGAGCTTTGCTTTTTCAAAGTTAACTGATATTCACTATATATGAACATCAATTCATCCAAGAATCAAACATCTCTCAAGTCCTAATTTCTATTCAAATTAACTATAAGCCCTATAACATTTATAATGAATTATATATGTTTGTTATCTTTGAAAGAATATGGATAGGGAAGGTACCATTGTTACAATAAAAATAAATAAATAAATAAAAAAAATTATATCAGTACACGGAAAAAAAAAGAAGAAAAAAAAAAAAACCAATACAATAACATTGTACTCTGTATCCAAACTATTTAGCTATTTCACTAAACTAAATGATTGAAACGCCGTTCAATTTTTTAAACTGGTGACATTTATAGTGAAGAGCTGCTATACACTAGATCCCTATCATCTCAAATGAGCTAACGTGTAACAAACAGCAGAATACGAAATACCTAAGCAATAATACATAAACCTGTGTCAAACAAAAGGTACTTTATATGACGGGAAAGAGGGCATACCAGGAAGAGGTATCTGTAGGATTATCAAGCGGCACATCCCTAGCAGAAATGTCGAATGGGACATCAGCAGCAGCTCCATCAGAATAACTCGCAGAAGGTGATGTACGGTAACTCCTCAAGCATTGTCCAAGAAACTGCCTAGAGTCCCAACTCTTGTAAGATAAACCAGGGATAGCTAGACTAACAAAATAAACATCTCGATTTCTTAAACCAACACTAGCTTTTCGACAACTATAAACACTTCTATCACCAAAGAAAACACCACCTGGCTTCGCAAAGTCCACAACATTACCATACCCCTTAAACAATGTATCAACACATACATCCCCAGAAACAGCGTGGGATCCCGAAGCAGCCATTGGATTCCTTATAACACGGCAGCACAAAGACACGATAGTTGTGTTTACCAAAAACTTATTTAACCGATGACTACTATAAGACCTCACAGAATTACAACTCTGATTCAGAGTTTGACTCTCAATGCATAAACTTGCAACCAAATTCCCCTGCTCCCACGATTTAACCCGACCGGATAACAATCTTCCGAGAGACGAACTACAAGCAGCATTCAGCTTTGACAAAGATACCAATTGCATCTTAAACCCTTAAAGGCCAAATCATCCCTTGCCAATACAAAGCCCAATAAAACCTAAAAATTTAACCAAATTTCCACAATAAGTCACAACTATCACAGCTACTAATTAATTAATCAACACATATCAATACAAATGTAAATTCATAAATTTCTCCCAAAACAATTCAAGCATAATACCATAATTTTTACATTAATTCCAAAAATTAGAAAGAAATTACACAAAATTTAGCAAGGCAGAAAGCTTATTTATTCATGAAATTGAAAAATAAACTTCAATGATCATCAAATAAGCTTCAAACTGAAAATTAAATCAAACAATATAAACCCCAAAAAAATCAGTAAAAAAAGCAACAATAATTAATAAATCAAGCTTAAAGCTTACCAAAATAGAAATTAATTGGTAACAAATTGGATAATTGACGAAAGTAGGATAAAACCCTAATTAAATCCGGCGAATAAGTAGAAGAGTGCCGGCGGTGGGGAATTTTCTCTCTCTTCTTGGCCGAAAAAAGAGGAGAGAAATGGATATAATTATTTTAAAATTAAATGGCAGAACGAGAAACACAAATCACGTGATTTGCAAGTTGCAAGCCTGAAATGGTCTAAACGGAACTATGGGCCTGTTACGGACTAGATTCGATTTGATTCCAATCTCGATCATTGAACGAGCTTCATTTATATACAAATTCTTGGGCTGCATTCTAGTGTAGCCAAGCTAGCTGCAACAGCAATAAATATGAATATATAATACGTTAAAATGAACATACGTTTTTTTTTTGTTCTTTCCTATATCTTAATTCTCTTTCTTCTTCTTCCTTAGCTCTATTATTTTTCTCTCTCTTCAGTTTTCTTCTCAATTTAAAATTTTCTCTTTCCTCTTTACCTCACTTCCTTTCAATCTTTAAAGTTTTCTTCTTCTTTATATAAAATTTTGAGTTAGTAATTTATGTTTTGATGGGTATACTCCTTTCTTTCTAAATCTATGAGTTTCAGATTCAATCATTTGGCTTTATCAAAGAGGAAAGAAAAAAATGGAGGAGAGAGAAAGTTGAGGTCAAAGAAAACAATGGAGGTTAGATTTTATCAATTTGTAATTGTATTTTGTATGATTTCGTTGATCATGCATGATGATTTATTGTTTGATTATTTGAAATTATTATGAGTTTGTGATGAATATCAATTAAATTGCTTAATTGTTAATGAATATCAATTGTATTGCTTAATTTGTAGTTATTTTCTCTCTCTCTTTTGATTTTTTTTCTTTTGATTTCTAATCAAGTTACAAATCAATAATTATTTTCTCTATGATGAATCAATATTAGATTTAAGGTGTATAATCAATCTTTTAGAGTTTCAATAATTACAATCGATCTTGAATATAATTTCTGTAAAAAAAACTGAATACGTAGGAATTTAAAATGAACATCTTTTACAAAATGAGCATTTAGTACACCGAAAATGAATATTAAATACATAAAAAATAACATATTTTGACGATTTATTTTATCTTTATTTTTCATTAATAATTATGTACAGTGAATTTGAACCTTTATGAAAATCATGTTCATTTTAATATCCTAAATGTTCATAACTTTTTGTTACATGTTCATTTTATAAGTGTTCATTTTTTAATACTAAATGTTCATTTTTATTAGGTTGAAAGTAAAATATAATACGTTGAAAGTTAAACTATCTAAACATTTATGTTGAAAATCTGAATAATTTATTATGAATATATATGTTTCGTTATTCTTTCCGAACATATATGTTATTGATTATGAACACATATGACACATAAAGTGAATATTATTTATATTTTTAAGTATTGTATTGATGATTATATATTATAAACATTCTAAATAATTATTATGAAGATATTTTGTGATGATTATGAAAATTCTGATTATTTGTTATATTTTAGTGAGTACGGATTAATTGTATTTGTAGAAGACAAAGACTCTGAATTAGTGAAGAAACAACTAAGAAGTGATGAAGAAGTATATGATATGTACAATGAATTTGCCTTTAAGTTGGAGAATTTCCAATGTATATGATCCCAATTTTATGGTTGTATGATAAAGGTTCATTTCTAATATACTAAATGTTCATTTCTTTTTTTTTTTTTTTTTTTTGACATGTTCACTTTTTATTACTGAATGTTCATTTTTATTACTGAATATTTTTTTTTTTATGTGTTCATTTTTATTACTGAATATTCTTTTTTTTTTTATGTGTTCATTTATACAACTAAATGTCATTTCCTTATAACATGTTCACTAGGCCGCGCGTTTTGGGCTTCACTTGTTGTAGCTATCTTAGCTGCACTAGCCAAGACCAATTGTCATTTATACAATTGGTTCAATTAAACCTCGTTGATAATACATGGAATTGGCCTAGTGGTAAAGGTTTGCCTTATGACTTTACTCGTAAAAATTATAGAGTTAGAGTCTGTATACTTCAGCTTATTTTCATTTTAGTTCGATTTAGTTCAGTTTTGTTCAGCTCGGTTCATTTCAGTTTAGTTCTTAATTTTCTTCTCTCATAAAATGTTCTGTCAATTCAGTTCATTTCAGTAAATGTAAACATGCCCTTAACTTTCACGGATATTTGGTTTATATGGTGGTATGAAATTGAAATGCTAAGTAAAAAAATAATTCAAGGTTGTTGTTCAAAAATGGATTAATGTTTGGTTTTTATTGAGTGATTGGATTTGGAATCAGTGTTTAAGCTAAGGTGATAAAGGAAGAACTTAATTCGGAATGTCTTCTGTTTGGTTGTTTACAAATAGATATATATTTTTTTTTCAAAGGTTTTATATGAGTCATATCCTCCTCACTTTTTTATCCTTTTTTTTAAAGCTCTATATGTTATAGGTTTAAGGTATGAGTTTAGAACTTGGAGTTTTGGTAAGCATTAGGCATGAGTTTTATTTATTCCACTCATATTTCATATTTGAAATTTATGAACCAAACTCTTTGGAAGTGAGGATTCTTTTATTCTTCCTCCACACCAATAAAGTTAGACTAATATGGTTAGCTTATTAATAACAAGCATATGCTCAATACACTACTACATTTTTTATCAAATCCAACGACCAAAATACGGTTGATGCAACCGCAGCATACATAACCGTTGCAATAGTTAGGTCTATTGCAACGGCTGCTTCATACTTCCTCAATAGAATGGTCTAATACAACGGTTAAGAGATAGCCGTTGCAATAGGGCAATCTGATCATGAAAATATAGGACCGTAAAAAATCCCTCCAAAATTTTCCCCAATATTAAAAGCCTTCACGTTTTCCTACAAAAGCCCACCCGTCCAATTTATCTATCCTTCATACGAGTAATAATCATGATCTCAACTACTGTATATGTTCTCACTAAAAGAAAAAAACAGTTGTAAAAAGAACAAAAAAAAATTAGTTCTCTTCCTCACCCAAATTTACAAATTCGAAGTCCAAAAATTACCACCAGCATCTTGAATTAAAGGAGTGATTAAAGAAACAGATGTGAGAGGAAGTAGCTAGAAATGGATCTCTCACCAACCGTCAGCTAGCAAGAGTAGGAACGACATTTTGCGGTAGCTGCGATGTCGGAGATAATATACCTATCGAGGACGGTCCATTCTATATTTTCACCGGCGATTTGTGTATCTTTTGATCCGACGGTTTCCCTCAGTCTCTTCTGGTTTTCAGCTTTCCAAGTTGTAAGTTTTTGTCCAAAATTAAAACCCTAGATTCAATTTCATCTTCTTTTTTTTTCAAGTCTTTAAATTTGTGGTGCAATTTTACATTTCTCTATGTTTTTTAAATCATAATTTGAACACCCTAATAGTTTCTGTGGTTTAAATTGCTAAAGTTGAGCAACTGGGAAGAAGTAGTTTCTGAGGTAATTTTCTTATTTTTTTTTATTCGTTTTATTTTTTCTATATTATTGCAATTGGTCGATAATTAATTTACAATAGATGTTTAGTGGTTACTGGCGACTCTAAACCTGATAATCTTTTTTCTGCTCGGATTTCAAACCGTTTTATGAGTTTCTCTTAAGCCTCAAAATAGATGTCCTGATGCATAGTAATAAATTAGGTATAAATTGTCATGTATTGGATACAAATGTATTAACATATTTAATTGTCAGCATTATAGTCCATTACCATTAATTTAGCTTAATGTTACATTAGCAGAATAGCCTTCACTCTCTCCTTAAGCTTAATGTCAGGCTTCCACTAATTGTTTGTCATGGGGTATGTTAGCCAACAGTATGCTCATGTTAAAGACCACATCATGTTCACCCTTATTGAGGTATATATTTATCATTTACTTGTCTTATTGCTTCTCTAAACATTAGTTATTTGCTTGTGATCTCAGTATCACCCTAATCACCTTCCTAGAAACAGGCCAATGAAATTTTGTCATCATTTGATATGTGATTGAGAGAATTTGCAGCAAGTCACTTGACAAAGGTTATTTATATATTTCTGTCATCAAATGCTTTACAATGTTATATGGTAAGAAAATCAACAAGTCTGCAGTTGCATTAGTCTTTTAGATTAATCCTAATTTGTTGTACAAATATGTATAGATATCATGGAGATCATGGATGCTCAAAATGTCTGTGCAGAGCAGGCAAAGGTAGGAACAACTGATTTTATAAATGAAAACCAATGAGCTACTCCGTAATAAGGTTGGCAACCATTCATTTTGATCTACTTATCAAACCAGTATTGTATTGAATGGTAAATAGAACTCATTTATATGAATTTTAAATCATAGTGGAATCTTTAAATTAGCTATACCCGAAAGAATATTGTTAGATAAGCCTATATATATCTTACATAAGCAGACAACTCATCCTTTAAACTTTGATTATGTATTTTGGGTGGAGCACATAGTAAGAGAAGAGAATATGATATTGGCTTAAGAAATCATGAAATTGTTAGTGAGCTAATTGCAGCCCACCCTCCCATTATCGAGTCTCAAAGGTTTATTCTTCAAAACTGACTGTATAAAGAAAGTTAATGTTATATAAATTGTATTGAACTGATGTGGTTATATTGGAATTGTGACTTGTTTCATACTCAATAATCCTCTTGAATGTAAGCTATTGGTGTTATGGTATTATTTATGTGATTTTCTTGTGATATTGAAACAACAATTGTTCTTATGTTGATATTGATTTATCAAAGCCAGAGTATTAACTTTTGGGATTAATATACTTTTTTTTTTCTTTGAAGAAACCATATGGAATTGATATACATTTTTTATGGCTAGTGTTACTTTATTGCTTAATTATCCTACAAATTTATACCTTCAAATTAAAGAACCTTACATCTAAGAATTTATCTTGGACATAAAACCTTAGCATCACAATTATCTTTACCCGACTTGGACTGTGCCCCTGCTGTTTATTAGTCACAATATCTTCCATATAATGCTCTATGTTGAGACAAGTAAAGCTCATAATTTGGGCTCTAATACTGGGGACTTTACTGCTCGAGCTGAATTGCCTACAAAATTATCAAGTGTGAGCCTATTTCATTAGTAGTGTGCACTAGGGTTGACAGGTCACTTCTGACTCCTCCTGTAATCTGAGCTCTGCTGCAGGTGAGAGCTGTATTTATTTCATGGTACTGGCATT